ATAACCTAACAAAATTAATTACACAATTACAACATATTCACTAGGTTTTAACAATATATACTTTCTACTTACCACACTACTAACCCATGCCATAAGCTTTAACGTTACAACGTCGGATACTGTGGCGTATTGATTTCCAATTGGATTATAATATCGTTGTATGAGGAATTTGAATTAATATTTTGTCATGAAATACTTAAATATCACTCACAAATCAATATATATCACTGCCCTCGATTGTAACCCACTATTTCATATATATAAACACATTTCACTTTCATAGGCACCAATTTCTTTTGGTATTTTCACTTTTTCAACCTACAATTTTGATTACAAATATAAAAATCAAATTCAATTTTCTTTTATTAATCTTATCTTCTTCTTCTTCTTAGGTATAGGACATTTTGAATCTAGGTCAGCATCGATTACAATCTCTAGTGTCCGCATAACATTAAAATCATTCCTCCTCACTTGATCCATCTTTTCTTCATCTTTTTTAAATTCATCATATTTTTCCTCCTCAACTCTTAAATATCTTTTATTTCAACCTTTATTTTCCCCCTTCATCCAATTTTTTTCAAACAACTCCCATCACTCCCTTAAATTCACCCCTCAATTCCACCACTTCTTTCACAATACATCAATTTTTCCATTCACTTCCCCCTTAAGGCTCTCAATTGCCTCTTTGATTCTGAATTGTCTTTGCAAACAATCAGAAACAACTTTTTTTAGCTCCGCAAATTAGACATCAAAAAGTCAAATTTAATTGAACTTTCAAAATGTTCACTTCCAGCCTGTCCTATCATACGTCGAGAAACCATGCCAAAGCCCCTGCTTCAGCCTTGAAAAAAACGCTAAAGGGTATAAATCATATTGCTCATATTCTGCATAACAACAATACATCAATTTGACATAAATAATTAAGGAAGGCAGAATGAAGCACCTCAGCAAGAAAATCATTTATCAACTGCTCTGCCTTAGATATTTGTTCAGCAGTACCCACAAGCTCTACAGGACTATTTAAAGAATTAGGGTCTGCATCCGTATCTCTTTGGACCTGAATCTTTGCTTCAGATTGTAGTTGAAGATATTTAATGGTTTCTCCAGCTTTCCCAATTATAACACCAACCTATTTTAAGAATGTCAATCTTTTTGCTACTACCGTGGTAGCTACTGAAAGAAACAGGTATAACTGAAGGAGCGGAGTTCGATAGAGGCTTTACATCTGTATAACATCAATTTTCAATTTCATTACCCTATGCATCTACCTCCAAAAACAATATCTAAACTATAAGCATCATGCAAACAACAGCAGTCAAAAGCTATTTTATATTATTAAAAGTTTGAAGCTCAACACAAAATCCTAGAAGTAACTATCTCCTTTAAGATTGAAAAGAGGTTATATACATATCTGTATAGCATCGACACTTTCTAATTTCATAACGATATGCATCGACTTTCAAAAAATCATATCTAAACTATAAGTATCGTAAAAAGAGCAATAATCAAAAGATATTTAATATTATTGAAAGCTCGAAACTCTAAATACAAAAATCCTAGATGCAACAAACTCCTTAAAGAATGAAGTTTTCATTATTAAAACAAAAAAAAATACCAGAGGGAGCAGAGCTAAATCCCTTCTCGTATTCAAAGCCACCGCCAGGGCCATTTTCAACACGAGGGTGCTTCGGCTCAGCGGCAGCAGAAGAGACGGAGTCACTAAGGCGAGCAGTAATCTCCTGAGCTCGTGCTTGGCCATCTCGATGTCGTCGAGCGGTGGCTGAACGCTGTTGTAGGAGGGAAGGGTCGAATCTGGGGAGGAGAAACCTGTGGGCCTACTACCTCCTGAAGAAGGCGGTGCTTCGTCATCGTATTTACGCTTGTTACTGTTGGCATCGAGACCTGAAGAGTACTGTGCTTCGTCCGCCATTTTCTGTTTGCAAGATAGAAACCCTAGAGGACGAAAGGGGCATATATGTGCGGTAAGATTTTATTATATATATGTCGGCAATAATTTTTAGGATGAGTTTGGTTCACGGAATGTAAGATCTTCACTAAGAATAAAAGATTATTAGGAAATAGGATTATTAAGAATGTTACATTACTCTGTTTGGTTGGTTTGGCAGTAATGTAAGATTACACCGTTTGGTTGAAGGAATAAAAGATTACTGAAATGTATATTTTACCAAATTGTCATTGTTCTATATTTTTTAACAAGTGAAATTCTAAATATTTAAATAAAAATTATTTATTATAAAAATTCTATCTGTTGATAATATATTACTTAAGTATTTAAATATCGTGTATTATTTTTATTTTAATTAATATTAAATTTTACATAATTTATGTAAAAATATATTAAAATTTTACATCAATATTTAACTAAATGTTTACATTGTGGAAACTAGCTTCGGTTCATACGTGATGCATTAACTGGGATGTGTCTTGTATTTTTCAATCGACAAGGTTTACATTCTTCTATATAAAATAATTTATCATAGATATTCATAATAATAAAAAGTTGTAAATTATTTTTTGTTATCTAAGATATAATATTTATTATATCTTCTATATACAATAATTTATCTTTTTATCTTTTATATTTATACTTAATTCTGCATACTTTATCATTATTATTTATCTCATGAATTTATATTACAAAAACATAATTCAAATAAGAAAATATAACACTAAAAATCATATTGTCTATAATTTTATATTTCACCGTCATTCATCATTATCTTTGCTAATATTTTAATAAAATTATTAATACTCAGTCCTAATCTGATTTGTACTTAATTCCTGATTACGAAAAGCAAGCAACCCAATAATTCATGTTTCCCAACCTGTAATTTCTCTCCGAACATATAAAAACCGACAGAGGCCAAGCTTTGAACATATTAAACCGTTAATTTCTTTTTGATTATACACAAAGGACAAGTGAAATAGCTTACCTGTATCTAAAGATAATTCTAAAACAACTTTAAGTGGCTGCTAATTCGACCATGTCCGAATTATTTAAGCTATCGGTCATGAGATTGCTTTTCGAAAAAAGTGTTAATGACATCTACTTCAGGGTTGGAGTATTGATGGCTATTGCAATGCTAGGATTTGCATGAATTCTGAAGACAACCTATCTCAACTGTATGAATATTTCCACAACAGAACGTTTGACATTAACCTCATTGCCGACCAGCTTATATATGTATAACAACCATCAAGAGCTGTGAATGCAGAGGAGGATAACAACCACAAAGAAAACGATCCCGCCACTATATAAACCAGACAAAAAGTACATACAAAAAGTGGGTAAGGTACTCAACTTTGATGCTTGATGGCTGCCAAGTAATGGAAGTAGAGATATAACGGTACTATAGATGCTGGTAAATAAACCAGTAAAAATAAGTAATGGTACCAAATTAGAGAACACACCTGATTGGTAAAAAAGAGTATAAAAGACCACCCATTGATCTCTCATGATTACCAAAAGTACTAAGCAACTTATGTGAAGGTATATGAAAAACAAATATCTTCACGGATGAAGTAAAATGTAAAAGAAACACCAAAGTAGAAAGGGAGATTCAACTTTATTAATGGATAAGAGTCTAAAAGAAGATGTTTAATATAAAACAAATACAAGTGCGGCACTTGGGCGTGCACAAGTAAAATGTAAACAAAATACCGAAGAAGAAGAGAGATGCAACCTTGGTAATTGATAACAGTCTGAAAAAGAAACTTCAGTATAAAATATATACCGGTGCAACACTTGGATGAGTACATTTCAAGCATGATAGTAAGGCATTTTTCAAAGTATGATGTGCTCCATAGACATGAACCACTTTGATTACAAAGCTTGGGGGATCCAAACTGTATAAAACTGATAGAATGCGTCCATAATATGCTGGCCGCTTATTTGCAATTGCTGAAAGACTGATATCAAAGACAAAACAATGGAAACCCAATAAATTAAAAACAGAAATATAATCAAAAGTGAAAACCAAAATTTGCACTTCCGTCGATGCCTTAAATTAAGCACAGAATGAGAAAGTGGACATTTAAAGGTTCATATGCAAGGATAATAGCTATGCCAGTAATAAATTTTCCTCTCAGGACTTCTGGTGGAAACTTTTGATTAAACTACAATTTTCAGTTCTCATCTTTATAACAGAATTGAAAATTAGAACTGTTTTACATAGATATCATTTCCTGGTTATTCACAATTCATATCAGTGTTAAAGATAGAGATTTCATGTATCATGATGAACTGAATGCCAAGAAAAGAGTCGGTTGAAATAAGTTGAATGGATGCCATACATGTTGATAAGCACAACAATCACAGATGTTATTAGAGACTTTACTGTTGGAAATCTAAGTTGATCAAGCAACAAAACCAAACACTGGCTGGCTTCAATTGATAATGAGATGTATCAGTTTCAAGAAAACTCAAGTATATTCAATGATCAAGATGCATCTTCAAGCCACATGTTTACAAGGTATTTATACACTGCTAAGAAGCAGTTACTGTCAACATGAACAAGCCAACAACCACTAACAAACTAACTGATCAGCTAACAACTAACAGTCTACAAACTGTTACTGACTCAGCTAACTAACGGCTAATATTCTCCCTGCATCTTCACCTTCCTTCCTTCATCGCAGCACAACACAAACTTTGTCTCGAAACTCCTCAAATGCTTCTTTTGACAGCGGTTTAGTGAGGCCATCCGCCACTTGGTGTGCAGCAGGCACATAATTAACACAAATATGCCCAGCAGCAACCTTTTCCCTTACAAAATGCACATCCAATTCAATATGCTTGGACTGCGCGTGATAAATTGGGTTGGCACTCATGGCCACTGCACTCATGTTATCACACCAAATTATCGACTTACCTTGCTTTTGAACACCAAGATCAGTTAACAAGGTGTAATCCATGTGACTTCAGCTGCAGCATCAGCAACACTCTTATATTCAGCCTCCATGGTTGACCTTGACACCGATCATTGCTTCTTAGAACTCCACGCAACAAGGCATTTTCCAATGAATACTCCATAGCCCGATACTGATCTTCGATCATCCAGATTGGCACCCCAGTCTGCATCAGCAAAGGCTGAGACCAATGCTTTGTTGTCAGATGGTGAAAATAGTAGCCCATAGTTCACCGTACTTGCCAGGTACCTAAGAATTCTCTTTACAGCAGCAAAATGTGTCACTCGGGGTGCATGCATGAATTCCGCAACTTTTCCTACACTCAACGACAAGTCAGGTCGAGTGTGACAAAGATAAAGCAGTGATCCAACAATGCTTCTGTACTCGCTTGCATTCTCAAGCAGCTCTCCTTCTTCGCGCGACAATTTGCATGCTGAAGTCATGGGTGTGGAACACATAGCCGTAATTTTCATACCAGCCTTTTCTAGCAACTCTAAGGCAAATTTCTTTTGGCTAAGGACAAGAGACCTGCTACTCCTTAATTCTTCAATTCCAAGAAGTAACTTAGTACTCCCAAGTCTTTAAGAGAGAACTTCCCTTGCAGTATGTCAACAACAGCTTTAATGCCATGATAAGACCCTCCCGTGATTAATATGTCGTCCACATACACTAGCAGATACACACGACTACTGCCACTGTCTTTAAAAAACAAGGATGGATCCGCTCGGGAAACTTGAAAGCCAATTTCCAACAAGGCTTCCTTCAGCTTGGAATGCCAGTTTCGGGGTGCTTGTTTTAATCCGTATAATGCCTTTTGTAACTTGCAAACCAAGGTCGAGCCATCATCAGCTAGCTGCTCGAATCCTGGAGGTTGCTGCATGAAGACATCCTCTTTAAGATCACCATTAAGGAACGCATTATTTATGTCTATATGCCTCAACTCCCAGTCATTGGAAACTGCCAAGGTAAGGATGACATTAACCGTGGAGAACCTGACCACTGGGCTAAAAGTTTCACAAAAGTCGTGACCAGGTACTTGAGTGAAGCCCTTGGCCACTAAACAGGCTTTGTAACGATGAACAGAGCCGTCGGGGTTACGTTTAACCTTAAAGAGCCATTTGCAGCCAACTGTCGTTCTCCCAGGTGGCAGTTTAACTAGAGACCATGTCTCATTTCTTTCCAACGCCTCAATTTCTGCTTGAACAGCACACTTCCATTCTGAAGATTGGAGTGCCTCCTGAATACTTGTGGTAACAGCATCATCAAAAAAACTAGAGAAAGCTTTTGGTTTAAAGATTCCGCACTTACTCCTTGTCAGCATAGGATGTGCGTTCTGTATTTGTTGTGGTGCAGACTGTTCTGCAACTTCTTGTCTACAACCACTATCATCATGAGTTCCTAAGTCTGTACCAGTGTGTGCCTCATCAACATGCTCTTCTTCACTGTTTAGCTGTACCGAGTGCTGATCAGATTGACTTAACTGCGAGTCACTATGGCCGCTGTTACTTATATGTTGCTCAAGACTGTTTTGTACGTTCTCATCAGGTTCACCATTATTATCATCATGAGTTCCTAAGTCTGTACCAGTGTGTGCCTCATCAACATGCACATTGCTATTATCTTCATGTGGTTGTGATTCACCACTAAATGATCCATGCAGACTTTTATCATTGTCACCTTGTATGTTCACCAATTGTTTGACATTGGACACAATATCGAGTTCCTGAGGGTAGTATAGCGTTGAGCAGTGGAATTCGATTCATCGAGCCTTTCTTTAAAAGGGAAGTGCCATTCATTGAACACCATGTGCCTGGAGATATAAACTCACCCATCCCGAGCTAAGCACTGAAAGCCTTTGTGTTGTGGACTAACACCCAAAAACGTGCAGGGCTGAGACCAAAAGTCTAGTTTATGTCTTTGGAATGGTCAAAGATGGGGAAAGCAAAGACATCCAAAGACTTTGAGCAACTTATAGTTGGTTGCTTGCCATAGAGTTTTTCAAAGGGAGAAATTCCTTGCAGCACTTTTATTGGGAGCTTGTTCACGAGACCAACCGCTGCGACAATGGCATAAGCCTATAATGTTACAGGCATCGAGGCTTGGGATAGTAGAACCAATGCCAATTCAACTAGGTGGCGATGTCTTCTTTCAACCTTGCCGTTTTGTTCGGACGTATGAGGGCAGGTTAACCTGTGAGTAATACCAGCACTCGCCAGGATGTCAGCAAAAGGTCGAAATTCCCCACCCCAGTCACTTTGGACTGCCTTGATAGTCATTCCAAATTGTGTGTGGACCATTTTCTGAAACAGTTGAAAAGCCATAGTTGTTTGTGACTTTGTGCGAAGCAAATAAATCCACGTATAGCGTGTAAAGGCATCAACAAAGGATATGTAATATCTAAACCCATTTGAAGCAACATGAGGAGGCCCGCATAAATCAGTGTGAACAAGCTGAAATGGAAAAATGTATTCTGTATTGGATTGAACAAACGATTGTTTGTGACTCTTGCCACATGGCAGGCAGAGCAAACTTTGTTTACATCAAAGGAGAGCTTTACATCAATTAGCTTTGCTACTTTGTTCAACGTTTCAAAGGAGGGATGGCCCAATCGCCTATGCCATAACTCTTCATCTTGCAAAGGCTTTGACGCTACGTTAATATCTCCTCTTACTGCTGCACTAGTTTTCTGAAAAGAGTACAAGCCATCTATTTCTTTTCCACTCAACAAAATTTGTTTAGTTGCTTCATCACGTACAAAGCATTTCTTGGCATGGAACTCAAGAAAGACACCATTATCTCTAGCAAGCTTGGAGACCGAGAGGAGATTTTTGGTTATTTGGGGAACATGTAACATATTATTCAGTAATAACACATGAGTAGTAGAAGGAATAACAACTTTGCCAATCTTATCAATGTCAAGAGTTACTCCATTACCTACCGTAAGCTTACCTGGCCCAAGGAAGTCAGTTTGAGTAACCATGTTGGAGGCATCGAGGGTAACATGGTGAGTGGCCCCTGAGTCCACTACCCATCGATCAGCAGTGGCAGTGACAACATTGGCTTGTGGTTGCATGCTGGAAGAGGGTGCACCCAAGCATCCTTTAGAACAACATTCACAGCTTGAGTTAGCTTTCCCAGAGGCATAACGTGCATTCCCTGAATCATCTTTTGTTGATCCATAACTTTGGATTGTTACACATGTAAACTCTTCATCATATCTGTGCCAGCATCGATCGACCAAGTGACCAAGCTTGCCACAGAGTTGGCACTGCAACTTGGTTCGCCCACGCCCCCTGCCTTGATTTCTCACATTAGATCCATTAGTAGAGCGATTTGTCCTGGAATCTTGATGATTAGAAGAATTGAAGGGCCCATGGCTGATACTGCCCTGAGCTACATTCGCACTGGCAGGAAGTAGCTCAACTTGCTCATCAAATCCTACCAACTGAGATTCGGCATCCATCAACATAGTGTAGATGTTGTCAAGGGACAACGTTTCTTTTATTGTCGTTATGATAGCAATGAATGGCTGGTATTCGCGTGGCAAGCCTTTCAAGATCGTAACAATGTGTTCGACATGGGAGATAGCACTCCCACAAGAAGCAAGGGCGTCGCACATCTCTTTGACTCGTGTGAGGTACGTGCGCATACTGTCGCCACCTTTCTTCAACGAGTGGAGTTTGTAATGGAGGTTCATTAACGCTGTTGTGGACCTGTTTGCAAAGAACTGTAACACCGTTCGCCAAACTACTGCAGCAGTTTTTGCTCCTACAAATTGAGGAAGAAGCTGGGGATTGATGGTCGATAGAAGCCAAGAAGCAACAGCACTATCCTGAGCAACGAACTCTTCATAACTATCATTAACACGTTCCTCACCATTCTCATCAACTACAGTTTCTGGTGGAGGCAGTAACGCTCTAGTTAAGAGTCGTTCAAGGCGATGGCTTCTGATGGTTAAGAGAACCTACTGCTTCCAGAGCAACAAATTGGTCTCATCAAGAACGATGTTGACCTTCTTGTTCGAGAAGTTCTTCGCACACCCAAGCTGAAGTTCCATATCCCGAATGAGACACAAAGATATTCACGAGCAGCGGAGAGAAAGGAATTCCTCGAACTCACCCAGAACCACCAGCGACTGATACCATAATGAGATGTATCAGTTTCAAGAAAACTCAAGTATATTCAATGATCAAGATGCATCTTCAAGCCACATGTTTACAAGGTATTTATACACTGCTAAGAAGCAGTTACTGTCAACATGAACAAGCCAACAACCACTAACAAACTAACTGATCAGCTAACAACTAACAGTCTACAAACTGTTACTGACTCAGCTAACTAATGGCTAATAATTGACAAATCCCTGACCTTGAGAGAAGGATGGCGCCCATGAAGCCAAGCTATATTAAACTTTATTGGGGTTCCTACAAAGTAAATTGAATAAGACATAAAATTTCTTAAGTGCTAGTCAATAAAGTACTAAAATGACATTATGAAAATCTTTTTCATCAAGCACTCTAACCTTGATGAAACAACTATCTAAAGCAAATTACCTTCATTAGAAGGGGGTTCTGGAGAGACATTATGAATCAGGTAATGAATATATTTTGAATCGTCGTGAAACAGAAAGAATCAAAAGCTACCTGGAAAGCTATAGAATATATCTTCTCCTTTAACTTTAACAACCACGACCATGATGATTCAAGATCACTGACCAATTCACTGGACTGATGGCCCTGAAACAAACACAAACACCATGTGAATTTGTAGAAGGTGCAACTTAAAGTTAGCAAGCAGCAAATAGACTATTGCCTAATGTAAAGCTTGAATGATATCAAATCATCCATCACCTTCTAGAAACTGACATGAAATACAATGCAACAGTTAGTGAAGACAAAACTAAACGCTTTTCCTTATCAATAATTGAATCCATGAAAAGCTAGTATTCACAAATTAATATTCTACAAAATAAGATTATGGAAACAAACCTGAATTGTAATCTTTTTGAGAGTATGACGAAACAAATCAATGCTGCAAGCTTGGTTTTAAAATGCGGGATGCGCTCTGATGCGTTTAGTGTCCGGGAGCCGATGCGTGATGCATGATGCACTCGCATCACGAACTCGATGCGCCAACTTTCACAAAAAAATACATTTGAACTAATTTTATACCTTGTAAATACTTATATATCAAAAATAGTTCAATTAATACCAAAAGTAGTTTAATAGTACTTCATAAATGTTGAATAACATAATAGACAAATACGCATAGGAAAATCAAAACAACCAAAAAGACAAATCAACAATAGCCTCCACTTCCCTTTCCCCCCACAAAGTTCTCCAAACTTTCTCTAGTCACAAACTAAATGTCTCAAATATCCCCATCATCAAACCCGAGCACGTCTCCATCTCCCACATCATCATCAGTCACTCCAATGTCTTCCTCCATCTCATCTTCATCAACAAGAGCGAGTCTTTTTCCTTTATCATTTCTTGATGGGCCGACCCATCATCACCTCCTCTAAAAGCCCTATATTACCTGTAGCTATTGTTAGTTTCGGATTTTGAACTTGTTTATTACGGCGATGATTATTGAAGCCCCAAATCTATGATTAGGCAAGAGAGAGAAGCCCAAATAAGGAGGAATTGATCAACCCAGAGCAAGAAATGGGAAAGAAAACGACAGCTTAAGTAGGTTACGTGGCAGCATCCATATTACACGTATAAGGAAACAAGAAGGTTCCAAATTATTTGAGATTTATCCAGAGTTTTCTTCTACTTCTATATACTTTTCTTCCCTCAAGAAGAGAGTTGTACGTTTACAAGTATTTTTTGTATTGACACTAGAGATTTGCTCTTCTTCTTATTTCTCCCTGCAACAACGTCCAAAAAAATGAACGCAGTTGCAGACACAATCACCCATTGATTTAATTTCCCAGAAAACATCGGAAAAATAATGTTCCCTTCACGGACTCACGACAGTCGTGAGAACTGGAACAAAGGAATCAGTACCATACCGGTCGACATTTTAGACACTCCCAAGGAGATCGTTTTCTATTTAGATGTTTCGGGCTTGTCCAAGTCTGATATACATGTAATAGATATGAAACCAAAACAACTATCATCAGGGTGTTTTAATTTTTTTTTCTTTTTTGGCTGACATCAATTCTTTTCGGTCTGATTTTCAGGTTACTGTTAAAGATGAGAATACTCTGGTGATCAAAAGCGGTGGGAAGTGGAAACGTGAGGAAGTAGAAGAGGAAGAGTGTAAATACATAAGGCTCGAGAGGAAGGCAACCCAAAAGCTTATGAGGAAGTTCAAATAAAAAACCAAAAAAAATTTTACTAAATGCGTCGGGCCACATCAGATCGCATTATGTACCCCTACCGCATCAAGCTGCCAAATGCGCTTTGACCATCGCAACGGCCGCATCACGTATCAGGCGCGTCTGATGCGCGCTTTTTTAAACCAAGGCTGCAAGAAATAGACTGTCGGGCAACAACAGGTGTAGCATATTCCAAAACAGTTATAAGAAAGGGTGCAATTTCAGGTACAAATTCGAGGTACTTCACTCCAATTTCACCAATAATCCTACATTTAATTTAAAAAATAATTTGTAAGAAATAAAGAAAAACAGCTAAGGCATAGCAGATTGAAGTAGGGATTTCAAAGGAGGCGTACTGGGTAGCAAGTTTGCGGACAGGACCAGACGGGTCCGAGTAAAGGTCTAAGATACGAGGAAGGAACTCGGACAAAGCAGCAGCGTCTTCCTCCAAGAAATCATGCTTCAATTGACGACACAACTCTAGTTTTGGACTTAAGTCACCAGCAAACTTCACTGAGTTGGATAAAATCTCGAGCTTTTCTCTCGAAGCTGGATTCATGATCCCTACCATTGCTATATAAATTAGGAAAATCGTAAACTCTTTTCTTTTATTTCATCAACGGTTTCCCCGCCTCTTTCTGTTTCTTGGAACGAAGAGGGATCGAAAAAGTGTAGTTTAGGCGTTTAAAGGAAACTATCGATCGAGGTTAACTTAAATCGACTACACTAATTTCCATTCAAAAAGCAACCAAAACTTTAAGAAGAAGATATCTCAGAGGCAAGTTCACCGGAGAAGAAATCTTACAGTAGAAGATCACTGGAAAACGATGAATTTTTTGTAGAGACAAGCTCACGGGGAGAAGAAATATCGCAGAGGCAAGCTCATGGGAAAATAAGGGTACTTTAGCCCTTAAGTACGGGAATAAAAAAATACTTAAGATACATATGAGAATAACATTCCCAGGAATAAACACACCAAATTTACTGTTGGTATTGAAACATTACCCTCACTTAGGAATCTTATCCAACCAAACATGGGTATCTTTAGTCAGGAAAAAAATTTTATTACCGGGAATGATAAAATACTTGATTCAAACGGGCCCTTAAGGAAATAATAAACGTTGGATAAATTAAATATCTAAATTATCAATTTTAATATATTTTAATACCTAACATTTAATTTTTATAAATCTATGTCTAATATTTAATTTTTATTTCACTTTAATACATTATCATTAAAAATTTAATGACACTATATTTTTATGAAAAAATTACATCAATCATCATTTAATTAACTTCTCACTCTTATTTTATTTTTTATTAAAATAAATAAATTTGAACATCAAAGTGATTAAATTAGGAATAATTTAAAAGTTAAATAATTAAATTAAAAATATTTAAACTTTAGTGATCAAAATATGAGTGAAAAGATAATTAAGTGATGAATGCTACAATTTTCCCATAAAAATGTCACGTGTACCTATTAATTTATTGATAACATACATATATTTTATAAACGTAAAAATAAATTAGGTGTTGTGTTCAAACCAACATAAATGACAGAAAAATGAATTGTAACATGATATTGATATTAGGTGTTGTGTTCAAACTGGTCACGTAAAAAAACGAATTAGGTGTTGTGTTCAAACCAACATAAGTGATAGAAAAAAAGACAATTTTTAAACCCACATCACTATAAAAAAATTATAACATAATATTTACTCAAAATTTTCTTAAGTTATTGATAACATACATATATTTTATAAATGTAATTATCTAAATTTTAAAATTTTAAAAAAATAATCTTTTCTTTTATCACTAAAATCACCCAATGAATTCGATACTTATATCATATTAAATATTTTTCAATATATATCATTTTTTTTACAATTTCTACCTATAAGAGATAAAGAAAAAAATTACCCATAATGAATATTGAACCCACAACTTAAGAGAAATGAAAAGTGTCTAGTTAAAACTCTTAATCATTTGCTCTAGAAAATTGTTGATCATATTAGATGTTTTAAAAGTGTAAATACCGCATTAAATATTTTATCAAAATACAAATATCAAATATGATACGGTTAACTACATGATTGATCACTTATGTTTGTGTTTTGTCCAGTTTTCCTCAATGATTTCAAAAAACATAATATATAGTCACTTTCATTTTTATTTAATTAAGATGTGGTCACTACGGGTTAACTGTCATCAATAATTAACAAATTAGGTAACGTGACAGATAAATATTTTGGTATAATCACATATTTGGTCCATATTATTTACATATTCTCTCAATTTGGTCATACTTTTAATAAATTAAAATAAATTTAATGCTCAAATCGAATGGTGACACATGGCACGACACATGCAGCATCATTCGATTAGAATATTAAATTTATTATAATTTATTAAAAATAAGATTAAATTGAGAGAATATGTAAAAAAACAAGGATCAAATGTGTAATTATACTAAATATTTAACAACCACGTAATTTGTAACTGTTAACAACAGTTAACACATGGTTACAACACCTTAACTAAATAAAAATGAAAGTGATCATTTATTAATTAAAAAAAAATAAAATGATCATATACTATGTTTTTTTTAAACTAGTAATGGAAATTAAATAAAATACAAACATAAGTGATCAATCATGTATTAATCAAATATGATAAGGATATTACCCTTATAAAAATACTAGTATAAGATTACGCTCAGACCAAGCCTTTGTTTATCAAATATGAATTGGGCTTTTTGTTAAATGTAAAGACCAGTGGCTGGCCTTATCTACACACACCACAATCCGGCACCACCTTTCGTGGTTTAGCGAAGGGTTTTAATTCATTCAAAGAAAAGGAAAAAGGATTGGAGTTGGGTGATGAAGGTGGTGAATCAAATTGTTCCTATTAATTTCAAGTTTTGGTTGCTTCCATATGCAAGAGCTTTCTAAAGTGTTTTTTCTTTGCAGTAATAATTTTGGTAAAGATTTCACAGAAATAGATGGAAATGGCGTTGCAACACGCAATCCATCTTCAGTATTGGATTTCTCCTGTAAAACTGAATAAGTTGAAGCCTTTTTCTTCAAAATTATTTAAGATGCCTTCTGGGTATGTTTGCTCGAACTTTCTTTTTTGTGTTTCTGAATAGAAGTGCAAATTCACCTTTCAAGTTACTAATTGTTGGCTAATGCGGAATCCAGGTTCCATAAGAAATGGGGTAAGAAACATATGGGATGGTGGAAAATTTTGGTAAAAAATTTATGGGACAAGAACCAAGTGACAGTGACGACGACGACGAGTCATCCATGAAAAAGGGTCAGATTGATGATTCCTATCATTTGGATGCTGATGAGCGGCGCGAATGGAGAGCCAAAATTAGGGAAGTTATCAATAAACATCCCGAATTCGAGGGGGAGGTTGACCCTGTTGATAAGTTGAAGAAGATGCAAAAGCTCCTGTCCGATTGTCCATTGGTTGTAGATGAGGATGATCCGGATTGGCCCAAAGATGCCGATGGCTGGGGTTTCAACCTGGATCAATTCTTTGATAAGATCACTGTCAAGAATAACAAGAAGGAAAAAGGTAACGGAGATGATTATGACAGCGAGAAGGAAATAGTATGGCAAGATGATGGACTATATTCGTCCGATTAAAGATATCAAGACTAATCAATGGGAAGAGACTGTATTCAAGGACATTAGTCCTTTAATCATTCCACTACAAAAGGTTAGTTTTCCTTTTTACCAGTCAGTACGACATGTTAATCATCTCCTTTAAAGATATGGATAATTTGCAGGACAAAAGAAAATGAAAGAGTTGGGGACGAGCTGACCAAGGCTGTGAACATCATATGGAATTGCAGGCTGCCTTCACCAAGAGTATGATATCTATTATACCATTGTTTCTGATGTGGTTGCATTTCTTTCGATCGTTGGTACTAATTTATATTTCCTCTTTATCAGTGTGTAGCAGTTGATGCTGTAATAGAGGATGATTTGGTCTCTGCTCTAAATGTCTCAGGTTTCCCAAAAATAATGTTCACTAAAGCTGGGAAAAAATTATACCGCGAGCGAGGTACTTGCTTAAAAGTACCAGTAACAATCTTGGCTTCTTGCCTCCATTTTCTTATTGACTATATGAACCTGTAATCTGTTGCTTGTTCAGCTATTCGAACCGCGGATGAGTTGTCGAAAATGATGGCATTCTTTTATTATGGAGCTGATAAACCACCATGCTTAGATTGCACTGGAGACAGACAAGAGATGATCCCAACAGTTTTCATCAAGAGATAAAACGCAGTTGTCTTGAACTTCTGTTTGAATATTTTGTTGTCCATGAGACTGATTTTATGTAGTAAATGGTGGTTATTATAGTATTGTAAACAAAACCGTTAGGAACATGTTTAGGTTATACTTATTGAAAATGTTACAAGTAAAAGAATTAACCACATTAATTGTATGTTTACCCATCTCCCTGACTAACAGCTCATCTTATTACAGCGCCTAGAAGCTTCTGAAGTACACGTCAAGTGTACATCACCCATCCACAAAACACGCAGCCGTTTTGGAGGTGCCATCTGCAATACAAAAATGTAAGAGAGAACAAAGAATGTAGACCAAAAGTTCCCACCTCACAAGCGTGGGCTGGGCCTACTAAGGCCCTTTTTACCACGAAGCTCTTTACAGAGTCCAATATTTGCCTGATGGGTCAACACTATTTAGTTTGATCCAGGTGTGGCTAAATTGACTTACCAACAACAAACATTAATTAACAACTTTCTTCAACCACCAACCTTCTTCAATATTCACCCTACTTTCAAGACCAGGACTTTTCTAAACAAACTGAAACTACATTGCTCAACACCTGCCAGAAACAGCACCCAAACATTGGAAGGAGACTACCTTTAACTGCGTCCTTAGCTCGTGAAACCGAGCCATGACAAGTGGCTTTGTGAATACATCAGCAATCTGAGGTTGCGCTGGCACATAGCTTACTAGTAGAACATTATCTGACACTTTCACCCTAATGAAATGGACATCCAGATCTACATGTTTGACTTTAGCATGTAGAACCGGATTGGCTGCCAATGCAACTGTGCTGGTATTATCACACCAAATGGTAGGCGAAGAAGCAAGCACGACACCCATATCGCTCAAAACTGCCTTCAACCACATAACTTCTGAAGTAGCCTCAGCCAAACTTCGATACTCTACCTCTGCTGTCGAACGAGAAACAACTCTGTTTTTTGGATGTCCAAGACACCAAATGATCACCTAAAAAGACACAGTGTCTGGAAATCAATATTTTGTCATCGGGATCACTCCCCCAATTGGCATCCGAGAAAGCTTTCAACACACCCAGATCAGTCATGGGCGCAATCCACAATCCGAAATCCAAAGTACCTTTAAGATAACGAAGAATGCTTTTCACCCCAGACCAATGTGCTTCACACGAACTTTGTATAAATTGAGCAACTTTATGCATAGCAAACAAGATATCGGGCCCCGTATGGCACACGTAAAGTAGCGCTCCTACAGCACTACGGTATCGATGAGGATCAACACTGGTACCAGCATTGTGCTTACTGAGTTTCAGAGTGACAGGTATAGGCGTATCAACCGGTTTTGCCGTTGCCATCCTAAACTTTTAAAGCAGCTCCTCCACATATCGTCGTTGGTTTAGAAATATTCCAGTTGAGGTGTGGAAAGCCTCAACACCCAGAAAATAATGAACGAGCCCCAAGTCCTTCAAAGTAAACATACTATTAAGACTGTCAATAACATTCTGAACATGAGCTTCAAAGGAACCTGTGACTAAAATGTCATCAACATAGACAACAACATAAGTAGTCACATCAACATAATTATATACAAACAAGAATTTATCATCACATGAAGACTTAAAACCCAAAATACACGAGTACCCATACAACTTATCAAAATAATTTCGTGGTGCTTGTCGCAAGCCATATAGTGCCTTTTTAAGCTTGCACGCAAGCACTTGAGGAAAGGGTTGTTCGAACCCCTCAGGCTGTTTCATGTACACCTCCTCATGTTGATCCCCATTGAGGAAAGGGTTGTTAACATCCACTTGCAGAACCTGCCACCTACGAGAAATAGCCACAGACAAAAGCACATGTACAGTTGTGAACCGAACGACCTGGCTAAAAGTATCGATAAAATCATAACCCGGTACTTGAGAGTACCCTTTGGCCACAAGTCTAGCCTTGTTTCGGCTAATAGTACCATCCGAATTATACTTTTACTCGAAAGATCCATTTCGCACCAATCATTTTTTTATCAGGTGGTAAGGGAACAAGTTCCCATGTGCCATTATCCAACAGGGCATTATATTCTAACTCCACTGCTTGGAGCCAATTTTTACCTAAGAACATCCTGCACACTGGAGTGTCAACATGAAAAGTATTGTGAACTTTAGGTTTAAAAATACTCGCTTTACTATATGTCACCATGTGATGATTATTTATTGGGCCCGCCACCACAGTCGCTGGACTATGTTGCACCAACTCTATAGGAGCACTGCACGCATTAGAGTGTTCGACAGATTCGTCCTGAACAGCCTCAAGCACAGTGTTTGCATCAACAGGACCTTCCATACTCGGAACTGCATTACCAGCAAAAGAGGGACTGACAGACTCATGACCAGATTCAGACCCAATAGCAGCAGGAGTTTGCGAAGAATGATCGACAGCCCCAGATGCAGGAACAGGACTCGAACACTCATTAGGACTAGCTGGACCACCAGACCGCCCCAACACCGAAAAGGGGACCTGCCAAGCTGACGTATCACCAGGCTTAGCAACCACAAAACCTGACCCAATTGAAGCAAAAGGAAAAACAGATTCGTTAAACCTCACATGCATCGAAATATATATTCTTCTAGTAGAATCCAAGCACTGATAACCATGGTGTTGTGGCGAATAACCAAGAAATACACACGCCTTCGAGCGAAAAACGAACTTATGTTTATTATAGGCTCGCAGGCATGGAAAGAACTGCATGCCAAACACACGAAGAAACTGATAGTCAGGAACCTTTTTATACAGTTTCTGGAATGGCAAGAGATCTCCAAGAATTGTCGTTGGTCACCAAACTGATTCTTTACAAGCGCCTGAAACATAGTAAACGCTTGAAACACATCAGACTTATAACAAAGCAAATAAACCCAAGTATTTCTGCTGTACATATCGACAAAGGATACGTAATATTACCGAGCACCAAATTTCACAGGCACGGGGCCCCAGACGTCAGCTTTCACAAGTTTAAAAGGTTTAGTATAAACCGTAGAAGACTTATTAAAAGAGAGTCTATGGCTTTTGCCCAAACAACAAGTAGTACAAACCTCATTTCCATCAGTTTTCTTCAAATTTTTAAACAAATCAAAAACAACATTCGAGGCAAGGTGCCCTAACCTCCTGTGTCACAATCTGTAAGAGGCATCAACATTGTTATTAAGTATCTCTTTATTGACAGTAACATGGTGAAGCGATTCATTTGAACCCGAGGCAAGCTCAAAGCTATACAACCCATCTTCAAGCTTGCTTTCCAATAGAACCATCCCGAGTAACACAGAGAAACTCAAGATAAACATTGTTATCCCGAGTAAGACAAGAAACTGACATTAAGTTCCTGGTTATCTGAGGAACACAGAGAACATGATCAACTTTTAAAGCACATGAATCAGTAGCTAGAACCGTATCACCAATTTGAGAAATTTGCAGCTTAGAACAATCCCCAAGATATACCTTCCCCTTACCTGTATATCGAGAGGAAGGATCAATCGACTTGTCATACGTGACATGATGAGTTGCACCCGAGTCAGGGACCCACTTTTCTGAGACATTCAAGATTCCTTTAGCAATCAGAGCATTGATCTGGGCCGTGTCCTCATTAACAACATCATCCATAGTGTTGAACCCTGTTGAAGAACTGACAAAATGATTGTAACCAGAATCAGGTGACTCAGAAGAGTATTTACAAACATTAGCTTGTCCATCGGACGATCCATGTTTATAGTTTTTATCGAACCTGTGTCAACACCTATCCACCGGATGACCCAGCTTACCACAAAGCTGGCATTGGTGCCTTGGTCGCCCCCGATAGCGATTGTTACCGGAGTTCTTCTCCCTAGAATCCCCTGACCTACCATCAAAAGAGGAACGCTCTTCACTAGCATATCCCCTGTTAGACTTCAAGTCACCACCACGACGCTTATTATCAAGCCCGGTCATATTGATGCTGGCAGGAACACGGAGCGGAACGTAAATCCTAGATTCAACATCAATGAGAACTGTTATAATATTAGAACGATGATTATCGGTAAATAAATAAATATAATTGAAAAAAATAAAAAATATTAAGATTTACGTGAAAAACTCGAAAAGGAAAAAATCATAGCAATAGAAAAGAATTTCATTAATATAAAAGATTTTGATAAAAAAAAACTTGATTTCTAATATCTATTTATATAAATAGATACTTAATTACAAAAGAAAAATTAAATAAAATAGAAATTTACTTTAATAAAATTTTATACTTTTAATATTTTAATCTGTTGATTTCTAATACTGACCCTTAGTACCTGTAAGGGATATTCACTTTTCAAGATCTGCCGCAAAATCAAAATCTACAAACATTACAACTCCATCTTTAGTTTGTGCAAACTGCAAGCAAACATCACTAGTACCGCAAAGATACCTGAAAATCTATTGGACAATTTTTCAAATTTTTTACCGGGATCCGCCATGTATCTACTCACTAAACCAAGGGTTCGTTTGGTTGGGCCGTTTTTCAATGTTTGGTTCAAGTAAAACAGAAAAATCAAGGGAAAATATTTTACGGTCAACGGAAATCTCAGCCATTCTCACCGTAAAATAACTTACCATTTCGAAAAGGGAAGTCATTTTCCCTTCACAGGCTCCTTCATTTTCCCTTCCCTCTCTCCACACCCAAAATCAGGGTCCGTTTGATTGAGCTTTGATTCCGAGAGATCTTCAGTTTCCTTTCCGGGGAAATCACTGCAAAGAAGAGGTTGAATATAATTAGTATAAATCGAGAAAAATCTAAGCAAAATGAAGATGGCGATGGCTGGTTTGTATAAACGAGTTCTTCCTTCTCCTGCCGTTGATTTCGCTTCCTCCGATGGAAAGGTAACCATTGCTTCTCCACTTTTACTTATCATTTATTTAGGTTTTCTTAATCATTTGCACATTTTTCTTTGATTGTGATTTCCAGTTGAGGAATCGGCAGAACTTGTATGATGCATTTGTGTTTTTAGTGATTTTTTTTTAATATTTTCAGTTGTTGCAATGTATTGGAACTGCAGCAACTTTTCATCAAAGCTATTCAAAACGGGACGTTGGAAGGGTTTTATAGGTTGATATCTTACTTTCAAACACAATCAGAGCCAGCTTACTGTGGACTAGCCAGTCTTTCAATGGTCTTGAATGCCCTTGCTATTGACCCTGGCAGAAAATGGAAGGGTAACTTCTACAACTAAGTGGACATTTTTTTCAGATTGTTTCTGCACTAAAAAGAAGTTTTTTAGATTTTTTCAATAATCAAGTTATTGTTTATCATCAATAAGTGAATGTGTTTGCAATCTAGAGAGCAGGGCAATGCCATTTTCCATGGAATTCTAGGAATTTCAAATTCTCTAAATTTAGTTATGCAAATGATTTTGTAACTTATAAGTGCTCGAATAGTAACGTTTAAGTTTTTATGTCAGTTGGTGTTATAACTATTTGGCCCATATTCACGTCTATTTTTTCTAATCTTTTGAATAGTCTCAACCCTGTCTCCTGTAATGGGAGTAGTGTGTCATTGATCTCTGTCATACTTCCTTGAACGTTTGATCCATGAGTAGCAGAATGCATTTTCTGTCATCTAAAAGTATACACCTGAGCAGTTATAAGTTTCTTTTTGTAGGACCTTGGAGGTGGTTTGATGAATCTATGCTTGATTGTTGTGAGCCTTTGGAAAAAGTTAAAGAGAAAGGAATATCATTTGGCAAGCTTGTATGTTTGGCTCATTGTGCTGGAGCAAAAGTTGAAGCGTTCCGCACAAATCAAAGCTCCTTGGATGACTTTCGTATATTTGTTGTGAGATGTTCCACTTCTGATGAGCGTCATATAATTTCATCATATCACAGGTCAATTTTTAAACAGGTGAGATTCAATTTTATAGTTTATACATTATACTAGGTATGTTTTCTTGTTCTTTCATTTGTGATAATATTATTTAACAGAACGCTCATCAGTTCAAATGCTTGCAGCATTGGATGTAATAATGTCAGAGGCTTCTTTTTGATCCATTTTATATTCTTTTCATGTTGTGACTTGTCACAATGTGTAATGAAGCAATATTGAAAATGATATGGGGAGACAAATTTCATCTTTATATGAGATCAGCTGACTTGATCATTCTTTTAGCATTTTGTATATAATTGCAATTGTCATTGTAAATAATTTGAATCTTATGGCATGTATTTGGTTAATCATTTATTGATGTGTTTTAAGTCTTCCATTTTGATGTAATGTGCCATTCTTTTGACCATGCTATTTATTAACCTAGTGTCAGTATTAAAATCCAAGTGGAGTTTAATCTTGTTACATCTGCTAAGTGGTGGATAACATTGGCTATATTTTTTGCAGACGGGCACTGGTCATTTTTCTCCTCTTGGTGGTTATCATGCTGGAAGGGACATGGCCCTGATTTTAGATGTTGCTCGTTTTAAGTATCCTCCTCATTGGGTCCCTCTGAAACTTCTTTGGTAACAATTTAGCAACAAATATTATCACCAAAACTACACAAGGCCTCTTTCTCTCATCAACAAACTAGTATTTGGTTGACCTTTTTATTTGTGTATTTTTGTTATGCTCTAACAAAGTTTATTCAGGTATAGTTTCTTGATTTTTGGTTTAGTACAGGTGTTAGCAACATGTTTACAGTTTTATTTGGTACAAGTGCGTCTCTTCTGGATGGTATAGTTTCTTGATTTAGGGTTGGATATTATTGTTATTTTAATGTTATAAACCCTTTAATTATACATTTTGACACTATTATTATTATTACAATGTTATGTACTATTGTTGTTTAAATGTGGTGTACTATTAATTAAATGTAAAAAATATTTATAAACTTTTATAATATATTTTTTATAAATTATTAATATTATATCAAATAAACTTACATAATATTAATTATACGTTGAAATTCATTTCTAAAAATACGAATGAATAAGCATCGTGAAGAGTTCAAACCTAAAATAGTGTATTTATAACATAATCACTATAAATTATTAATATTATCTAAAAATTTAGTTTGGTGTACTTATAAAAATACAAATTTTTATAAAATATAATTATATAAAAAATAAAATGAACCTTTAAAACTAAAGTAAAGAATAAAAACATATCGAATATGTATGATTCTTTATTAAAAATAGATTCTGAAAACTTTTTTCAAAAAAAATAAACCAAACAGTGTAAAATATTTTACAATGTATCATCAAAACACTGGAAAATATTTTCTAGAGAATGTTTTCTAAAAATGTAATTCATTTTCCAGATTTCAATTTTCGGAAACTGTTTTCAGTGAAACAAATGTACTTTAACTGTATACGCTAAGCCCTAACGCGTACAAACTATAACATACATCAGAGATCCTACTGCACTAGAATATAGAACATGTGACATGCACTCTAGCTCCACATCTGATTTTGGTGAACGGTCCGATGAAAGTCTAAAGTGAGTTTCCAGCGGAGAACTCACAGGCTTCGCACTTTGCATATTGAAACTGTGAAGAACCTTTTCAATGTACCCCTTTTGACTTAGGTGCAATTTACCTGCTTTTCTGTCTCTTCTAATCTCCATTTCGAGTATCTTCTTCGCAAGACCCAAATCTTTCATCTCAAACTCCTTATTAAGTTGAGTTTTCACATGTCTAATCTCTTCTTTATTGTTTGCAGCTATCAACATATCATCAACATAAAGAAGCATGTATATAGACAAACCATTGCGATTCTTTTTGAAGTAAACACAACTGTCAAAATTGCTTCGCTTAAAACCAAGAGAAATCATAAAAGTGTCAAACCTCTTATACCATTGTCTAGGTGACTACTTAAGTCCATAAAGATATTTTTTTTCAATGAACAAACATGATTCTCATTTCCTGAGACCATGAAACCCTTCGGTTGTTGTATGTAAATGTTTTCTTCAAGTTCACCGTGCAAGAATGTCATTTTCACATCTAACTGCTCAAGCTCAAGGTCTCATATAGCTACTATCCCAAGTAAAGCTCTAATTGAACTATGTTTTACCACCGGAGAAAACACATCATTAAAGTCAATACTAGGGATTTGTCTGAATCCCTTCGCAACCAGCCTTGCCTTGTATCTAGGTTTTTCAACTCCCGAAATTCCTTCCTTCTTTTTGTACACCACTTACATTGAATGGCTCACTTTTCGCTGGGAAGTTTTACTAAATTCCAAGTGTTATTCTTGTTAAGTGACTCTGTTTACTCTTACATTACAATCATCTACTTGTCTGAGTCTTTGCAGTTAATAGCCTCTGAATAAGATGATGGCTCTTAGTCTATATCAGTCTTTCACGACACTTAGGGGTGTACGCAACTAGATCAACCTTTGCGTACCTTTGCGGTACTTGATTTCTCTTCTAGGTTTATTATGTGCAATAGACGATGACGAATCAAATTTTTGTGGATGAGTTCTATTATATACTAGTGTGTCGGATGTGGACCATACTTCAAATTGAATCTCCACCTTTTTCTGTGCGATCTATGATTCCTGTGAATTCTTGGTAGTTTCATTAAGGGGTGATCCTTGCAACATAGCAGATTTATCAAATATCACATCAATGCTAATAACTATCTTTCTAGTTTCAGGACACCACAACTTATAGTTTTTGACTCCTGATTTATATCCTATAAAGATGCACTTTATGGATCTAGGCTCCAATTTACCATTGTTTACATGAGCATATGCAGGACAACCAAATATCTTCAAATCAAAATAATTTGCAGGCTTACCAGACCATACGTCTTGCGGAGTCATTTTGTCAATGGCCATAAAAGGAGACATGTTAATCAGAAAACATGCTAGCGAAGCGATTTTAGCCTAAAATGACTACGGTAAACCAACATTAGAGAGAATGCAACGAACCCTCTCCATTATCATTATATTCATCCGTTCAGCAACACTGTTTTGTTGTGGTGTTTGACGAAATGTCAGGTGTCTCACAATCCCTTCTTTCTTGCATAACTCATTAAATTCTCCATAACAAAATTCTAAACCATTTTCAGTATGAAGACATTTAACTTGTCTTCCAGTCTGTTTCTTAATCATTGTCTTCTAATTATTGAATGTGGCCATCACATCATTTTTTTGCTTCAAGAATAACGATCAAACTTGTAACACCCCAACCCGTACCCGACCCGGATACGAATCCGAGATGTCACATTAACTTTTTAAGACCATATTCTTACAAAATAACAAAAAGATTTGAACTCATATTAAGAAAATATGATCATATATTGTTGAATTGTGTTCGTTATAACCAATTTAAGAAAATATATATTTTTTGAACAGTAAAATACGATATGAACAGAAATGGACAGTGCTACAGTGCTACAATGATTTTCGAAAATGTACATAAAACTCGTAAAAATTTAACCGTTCATTACCATGCATTTAATTTACATAATTACGTTTAAAACGTTACAAAACTCGATCAGAGCATAAATACTTAATTTGCCGACCTTGTTTACATGCCAACCTATTTTAACATACTAATACATACTATTTAATTTACTTCTGATCTGATCTTCAAGGGGAGTTATGTTGTTCTGATGAGCTTATAATGGATCTCTCTGCTTTTCGGTACCTACGTGTAAAACACTTACATTATAAGTCATCGACTTAGTGAGGCATAATAATAATAACAATGAAATATAATAATGATGCCATAATAAGATGAAATGTAATGAATTCATCTAATAAGTTCAATAGGTTCAATAGCCCATGATACAATACTGAGAACCCGAGGTATGTGAGTAATGTGAGGTTGTGCACTATGCTATCACCACAGCTCGTATACATTTGCACCGAAGTGCCACGTAGAATTTGTCCCGGAGGACCACGTAGAAATGAACTGAAGTACCACGTAGAATTGCACCGTAGTGCCATATAATATGTCCCTAAGGAGCACATAGAAATTCCTTAAGAATCATATACATATACCAAGGATCAAGTAGGTGTCTCAAAAGATCTCATACGTGCTCCAAAGAATACATATATGTCCCGAAGGACCACGTAGAATTTGTCCCGAAGGACCACGTAGACCCTCTACTCTTGGCATGCCAACTATACCTATAGTTCTCATCTACATAACATGGGCTTTTACATTTCACGTAGTTTATATCGCGTAGACAAACTTCTTACCTTTATCACATAGCTCATACAATATTTTTATGTAATCATATAACTCCATGCTGCATAACTTGTCTCGCATTTTCATGTAATCACATAGAATGATATGTAATACATAAATCAGGTAAAACGATGCATATAACACACATAACATATGATCATAGTCATGTACACATAGAAGTCATATTAGTCACATATTAGTATTCATGAAATCATGAATTCAGAACATTGAAAATAGACTCATCGCAAGTCTAATTTCCATATAATCATTTACTATAATAATATGCACTCACCTATATCTCTTTGCCTTTTCCTCGATCGATCTTACTTGTCACTTGTTCTAGAACTTGTTTAGGCTCAATATCTACATAAATATAATTTTCAAGACAATTATAAGAATCCTAAACCTTATAATTTGATACTAATAACTCGAACTAATTTAATGACCCAAAAATTCAGTTTTCCTTTAGGGGTGTACCGATACACTATGGATGCATCGATACCCAAATTAGGTTCAAAATTTCCATGCATCGATGCACCCCTTAATGCATCGATGCACCTTCAAATTTTGTCTTAGTGCATCGGTGCCTATTCATAGTGCATCGATGCACATGTCAATAATAAATTGGTTTCACCCGAAAATTCCACAACTTTTCATTAAATTTCCTCATATAAAACTCCTTTCATACCACTAACTCAACTACAACCATTTTAACTAACTTTTATCATTCCAACACTTTAGAATTTCCCATATCTCATTCAAATTCTTAAAACTAAGAATCATACCAAAATTTCCATGTAATCCAAACTTATTTCTAACACTTATAACTTATTATTCACACCCATGACAAGTCAATTTCAACTTCTAAATCCATTTATACATCCTTATTCAAAATTTCACTTATCTACTTCCCATCTTTAATCCTTCATAACTTACAAATCTTTGAGTTTTTATAACCTTTTTCATCTCCATCATCTTTCCTAAAGCTTCATGAATCAAAACCATACTTTAATTTGAAGGATTAATCAAAAGAAATCCAACTTACCTTGGCTTGGGTGCTTCACGGTTGTGAGAAGAAGATGAAAATGAGAAATCTCTAGAAACTTTTGTTTCCTAAAAATGGGTTACACGTGGGTTATAAAATACCCACCACCCATATTTAATTATTTTCTTGATAAAAGACCCATTTACCCTCTTAACTTCTCATTATTTGCTAATTCATCCTACATGAAATATTTCCATTAAATCTTTCAACTTTTCAATTTATTTACTTTGATCATTGAAATTTTAAAATTTTACACTTTAATCACTAACCCGGTATTGAGGATGTTACAAAACTTTTCTATAATAATCATCAATGATTGTCAACATGTAGTTTGTACCTCCATGAGAGAATACTCTAGACGATCCCCATAGATCAATATGAATGTAATCTAGCGTACTTTTCATATTGTGAATCCCTTTGGTAAACCGCACTCTCCTCTATTTGCCAAATACGCAGTGTTCAT